GCCATGTCTCAACAGCACGCCATGTCTCAACAGCACGCCATGTCTCAACAGCACGCCATGTCTCAACAGCACGCCATGTCTCAGCAGCACGCCATGTCTCAACAGCACGCCATGTCCCAAGTTACCCCAGTAGCGCGGCAGGCACGAAGGAGCGCAGTAGGTGCGCCGTGGTGATGCCGTCTTGTGCAGTTCTTCTCCTGCGTTTGCTGGCGCCACCGTCGGCTTTACGCCCCCAGTAGTCGAGCTGCTGCAGCTCACGCTCCAGACCTCGCTTACCACGTCGTGGGATGACATGTCTTAGACCAACACTCGACGAGTTGTTGCTCAGACCACGACGCTTACGACCAGGTCTGCCTCTACCACGCGGTGTTGAACAACCGCCATGGTTTAAGATGTCATCATCAATGTCCGTCGCACTCTCAGGCACTTCTGTGTCGCCCGCGTCCGTGGCCTCATTCTCATTCGGTCCCAAAAGCTCGCCAGCATCTCTGGCGTTGTTCTCATTTTGCACCAAGGTTTCATCTGCCTCCGTGACGACCTTTGCTATTTGTTCTATAGTTTTGCCTGTACCTGGCGCGTTATTTTCAAGTGGCTCTTCTAAATTATTTGGTCGTAGGGCGCTATTTGATGGTTCAAGTGAACTTAAAGCAGGACATTTATCAGGTCCATCATCGGCAGCAGTCTTAGCTGCAACTTCACATGAAGTTGAATCTACGTGAGGTTTATCACTTGTCGGCATGGCATCAGTCAATATTTTGCAGCGATCGCCATTTTCCCCCAAGTTTGAACACAAATTATCCTCTGAGTTTACAGTGGTACAAGCACGTTTCTCTTCGTAATTCACTGTCATTTCACGGGTTGACTTTGCGTTAGGACTGTTATTAAGGACATTTGTAGACTCTAAACACTCTTGGGCAGATTCAGACTTTTTGGGGGAACCAACAACGTTTGGTGCACTTTCTCCCTCTTCGATGCCTTCACTGATTTCTGCCTTGCTCTTCAGATCACTAACTTTAGATGAACTTTGATGTGACTCGACAGGCTCTTTTACCTTCTCAGTTCGAGCATCGGTTTTTACAAAAGCATTTGAGCAATCGTTATTATCAAACCTATGACCAGATTGAGACGTTTTGGGAGGCTTTGGGCTAAATTGATGCGAATCTGGGACGGCCTCCGAACGAGCGGTTCCTTCAGAGTTCAAACCAAAAACGACTGTCTCAAATTCGCCATGTTGTTCGCTTGATGAAATAGCAGTCGGGTTTATTCCGTCCATGTGGCCTCCACGTGGACTTTGATCCACTTCGGGACTGCCATCAGAATTGTTGTAGCAGTAATCAGTGCCGTAAGCGATATTCGGAGAAGATAAGCCCTGATCTCCGTCACCGACATTAGCACACAGCGAAGCAGACACTCGATCAGCTTTTTCTTTGTCTTCCCGAATAGCTTCAACTAAGCTATCAGTTTCCTGGCAAGCAGCGTGTATCTGGTTATTAAGCATTTGCAAGTCACTCGGGATATGATGATCGTCATGGTCGGACAATTCCTCGTCGTTTGTATCTTCGTCGCCTTCTGCGGTCTGATCGTCTTCAATGGAAGTAGCGTCTTCACTGTCGGAATTTTCTGCACGGTCATCATTTTGAAATGAATTGTTTACAACTATGGTCTCGTCCATAGCCTCGTGGTCAGAGTTGTCATCAGCTGCATGAAACTCCTCGTCGACTTCCATTTCCTTGTCACTATTGTTCTCATCTTCATCGGCTTCAATCTGAGATTCCTCGTCTGCTTCATCGTCCCCGTCATCATCTTCGTCGTCTTGAACATCTTCTTCTTCGTCACAGTCTTCCTCGACTTCCTCGTCAACGCCATCCTCGAAATTTGTGACAACTTCTTCCTCATCTTCAGTTTCGTCTTGCGTTCCACTGCCCAGTTCCTCTTCCTCAGGCTCTACCTCTGAGTCGGATGAAGCCTCCCCGTTCTCGTAGTCCATCTCTTTTCCAGTTAAGACCGAACCTTCTGTGCTGCGCGACTTTGGGGCCTTCGTTGACGCAGAGGTGTCGTCGTCGTCGCTGTTTTGAGTTGCAATCGCCGTCTCATCACTTTCTGTGCTGGACCTTCGTAAACCGTCACCAGGGTGGCTGAGGGGCTTGGCAAAAGGAGACGTGTCATCTGTTTCAGTACTGGTTCGTCGGTCAACAGATGCTGAGGTCCGGGAGCTAGAAGAAATTTCATCTTCTGTCGATCCCGAACGCGCTTTCTTAGCAGTACCGCATTCTGAATCGGCCAAGCTATCACGTTTTCTTTTGAACGACTCGGTTTCTATGACGGGGGAATATAAATTGACTTTTTTATCACTTTCAAAATCATACCAAACCTCATTATTTTGCAAATTTCCATCTAATTTAACCTCAATTCTTTTACCATCATCCAAGTTGCGTTCTATGCTATGAGGAGAGCGCGAAGCCATAATGTTTTTTCCCGCAATTTCATTAATCTCTTTTTCGTCTTTACAGAGCTGATTAGAATATTTCACATCAGAATCTAGCTCGGTGTCGCCGGGCTTGTCGATATCAAGAGATATTGCGACACTGTCGGAGAGTTGGGGTACCGTGGGATCAGTTTTGACAAGCTCATCATCATGCATGTGCGTCGCTGGACAACGTGCTTCTAACTTCCTATTCTCGGAGTTTTGGCCTGGACTTTGAACTCTTTCGACTTCCACCAGCTCGCTACGAGAGTTCCCACATGGGACGGAGGAAGACGCAGCAGGGCTTGTCGACGATGAAGTTCCATCATCAGAGTTGCGGTGATGAAGTCTGAAGGTGTCCTGGCCGTTGCCAACCTCAATTTTTGTTCTCCGGCCAGACGAGGTTTCAGACTTTATCCTTGAATCCCTTCCGTCTCCATCGCTGGCATGAGCGGGCTCAGTTCCTAATGCTGGATTATTGTGCCTGGTTTGATCATGAGATGAATCTTTACCTCTTGACGCCACTTCTTCTTGCTTTCTTTTCTGAACTTCTTCGTAATCTCGGAGTGCTTTCTCGACAGTGACTGGAGCAGTGAACAGCTGTGATGGAAACATTTATTATGGGAAATCACTTTGAATATTGTTGATCACGCATGCTTACTAAAAAAAATAAGAGTTTCTTGCGAACTCATTGACAAAGCCGTATTTGCGATGTTGACATCTCCCAGAACAGCGTACAAAACATCAAAGTAAGTTGACTCCACATCAACAAAGAGATAGTAAATTTATAGTTTGATCGCGGTCTGGGACTATGCTTTCAAAAAAAAAGTTAACCCTTTACGCCCTGGCGTGACGAATTCGTCACACCAGGGACTAGCTAACTAATTCGATGCGTAAGGACCATATCTATTGATTGGTCCTTGCTGTTTTTCGAAATTCTAATTTTTGTGGGTGGGGTGGGCATTTTTTGAAAAAAAAATTATTTCTCCCCCCACCCTTTCGAATTTCCCCTCCCCTTTTTTAAAAATATTGTCAAAACTTTAACGAAATTGAAAAAAAGCTTCGACCAATCTCTAGATCTTTTATTTGCGAATCGAACAGTTTATTACTCATTGCTGTAGCTTAAAAACTCTGGGAGGAAATAGGTTTGCAGTGACAATAAGTGTGAATGTTCAGTAGAGCGGGACAAAGTCCCGAGCGCCTCGAAATAGGCATTCAAGGTGACATGGATGCAAGACTAGACATTACTGGAGCCGAAATTCAGTCAAGGATAGTGGGAACGACTGCATGAGCACCATCCCACACGACAGCAGCCGGGTAACTAAAGATCAGCGTCTTCAGGTTGCATATTTATGTGCCCAACCAGTAATTTTCGCCTATATTAAAAGTGAAAGAACTCCCCCACCTCTAACACTTTCACGAACTGTCGTCAAGGCATAAATCAACGTACAGAGATGATTTTGGTACCATTGGATAGGTCAGAATGTCAGCTTCAAAGTGAGACTTAAAACCAAAAAAGTGAATTTTAAAATTTTTGTCCCAGAAATTCAGGGCGTAAAGGGTAAAGAGATCGTAAGTTCATGAGGCAATTATTGACGAGCTTTCAATCAAAATCCACCAATCATAGACAAGAAAATAGAGCGTAAGTACTTACGTTCACTTAGCCAGTTTTGAAAGTAAGGCCCTGGTTATTTTTCTCACTAATAAGTTATGCTTGGTAGGCCATTAGACAAGCAACTCGCGAACACTAACATTGCAATAAGCTGAAAATAAATAAAAATTGTTTACATTAATTATATCCGCCTACAAAAAAGCAACTTATGAATACTAACATCGCAATAAGCTGAAAATAAATAAAAATTGTTTACATTAATTATATCCGCCTATAAAAATACAAGGCATGCACCTACCACAGGGTCCTGTGGTTCTATCAGCTAAAAATAAATAAAAATTTCTTAAATTAAGCACCTAAAACCGCCTATAAGAATACAAGCCAGGCACTTTCACCCACCACAGGGTCCTGTTGCTCTATAAGCTCAAAATACCTACAAATTGCTTAAATTAAGTACCTATAATCGCCTATAAAAATACAAGGCAGACACCTTGACCTACCACAGGGTCCTGTTGGTCGAGCATGTCGAGGGTGGCGAGCAGCGAGGACCCGAGGTCGTGCCAGGTGAGGGCACCAAGGGGCGCCGCCAGAGGGAGCCCCGAGGGGCATGGCACCGCAGGGCGCCGCGGCACCTCACGAGGCACGATGGCGGGACGAAGGGCGAGGCACGTCGCTATGAAGCGCTCCCCAGCAGCCTTGTCGTAGTCTTCGTCAGCAGAGAACAGCACGTCGCTGTGGCGGCGGTGGAACAACAATAATAATAATGATAATAAACCAAGAAACAGAGAATGCACAAATGATTCAGGCGAGAAACGGAGGCAAGTATCGATTTAATATGGGAGTTATACCGGGATTTAATTTAGGAGTTATACCGGGAAGTCAGCGACCAATAAAATGTATTTTCGAACAGTTTAAAGATTACCGCGGCTCTCCCTTGTTGCATTACCCAACACCTGTCTCTTATACACATCTAGATGTGTATAAGAGACAGTCTCTGTAGCGCTCGGGCAGGGGCAGGTTTAGGGCCGACTTGGCACTGAACGCAAGCTCCCAGTAGGCGAGTGTGACTGTGCTGTGCAGCTGCAGTGCTGGCACCAGCTCTGTGC